CTCAGCAATTTCTAATCTGGTTACTGTCACTTACAAATGAGAGAGAGAGTTTTGTACAGATCTTCACTTGAGTTACATCAATGATGGATTGCTGAAAGTGCTGGTTTATTTAAAGTTTAGGGGAATCACACTGAGATTTCCTCAAAATAAACCTATGTTGCGGAGAGGCCACTTTTGATCTGAGCAATACTAGTGTTTGACCTGAATCCAGGGAAGAACATTTGGATAAGCAAAGAGAGGTGACCAGCAGATTCTAGGGATCAAGAAATAATGCAAAGAGAAATCATTTTTCTCTTCTGCCCTTTTAGAGACCTTTTAGAGACCGAGTGTCCAAAAATCGCCCTACCCCGCCAGCCCATCCACAGCCCGCCCACTCTGCCCCCGCTCCTGCCCTGCCCGGCCACCCACCGCCTCCACGGCCTGCCACAGATGACCCAGGTGGCCCTGGAGCGCCATAGCGGCCATGCCCTCCGCCCGCACCCTGCAGCATCATTTGTGCGCAATGGGTGCGAGGGCGAGTCTTCTCCCTGCTTCCTGGCTGCCATGTCCTTGGCTGCGCTGCTCCATGTGGGCCATGCCCGGGGGTGACTCTCCTCCGGGGGGGCTGCTGGTGAAGAGGGGGCTCCTGGTGAAGAGGGGGCTGCTGGTGAAGAGGGGGCTGCGTGGGGAGATGGGGCTGGGGCAACGGCATGTGTGCCCACAGAGAGGGTTCTGAGTGCCCCCTCTGGCATGCATGCCATAGGTTCACCCCTACTGGTCTATGTGGTTCAAACACCAGAATGGAAGCAACCTCCATTATTCTATTGCTGTGACTTTTTTGATACCTGTAAAACAGCAATATTTCTGAATGTAGAATATTCTTCTAATACTCAATGCAAGACAGATGTGGCTTTACCAGGCTGGCTTCTAATGCTTGAACGCATCGCTATAACAGCATGGTGCTATTTTGTCCTCTAATGTCTGTGTTTGTGTACAGACATAGAACCTTCTTTTTCTCTTCTTTTTCAGTCTTTATGCTGAATATTAATAAACATTAATAAATGTGGAAAGCATTCCTCGAGCTGTAATGGGGCAGGATGAAGGGACCAATAAAACTAGCACATTCAGCAGCTCCGATCAGGGACAACACATGTAAGAAAGCGGCAGGGCTTTGATTGTGTCATCATGTTAATCACCTCTTAACTTTTTGATCCCTCCTGCAATCCCCAGTATCTGATACTGTGTACCACCAAGGTATTTCTATTTGAAGAAATAGCTTCATCATTTTTTCCTGGCTGCACACCTGGGAAGAGAATAGGCCTATTATACTTGTACTTACCTCTTCTCTTCTCTACACACACACACACACACACACACAGTTAACATCAAGATTCCTTGCTTGTGTTTAAGTTACGTTGTAATCCATGTTCTCTGTCCTTTGTAATGAAACGAATACACAAAATCAGGCTTACAATATTGGCTGATCAATATGCTCCATATACTGATTTCTCAGGGAAAAGACATGCAATATTTTGCTAAAAAATTAAGTGGCTGAAGATATTTTTGGCAAGCAGTTTATTTCAGCTGTCTGCAGTTCATAAGATGTCAGGGCATTGCTCAGCAGTTGCTGTTACAGATTGTAAGAACAGCAAAGTGTCATGTTGAGACGAGTAAATTAAGCACTGGATTTACTTTTCCCTGAACTACCCTGTCAATCTAACCATAGAGAGCTTAACGCGAAGGTCTGGTTGCCACAACTGGGTGTGCAATTAAGAGGCATCAAATGATGAAAGCCGCATTGCACGGTTGCAATGCCAGCTATGCTGCTTTTGCAAGTGCACAGTGACACTGTACACACGGATGAAAGGAAAAGAACATGTCGCATGACAACACAAAAACTTTCATCATTTTGGAATGAACCTTGAATCTTATAGATACTCTAAGACAGTGGTTCTCAACCTTTTTAATGCCGTGACCCCAACCGGTCGTAAGTCGAGGACTAAACCGGCCGTAAGTCGAGGACTAAACCGGTCGTAAGTCGAGGTCTAAACCGGTCGTAAGTTGAGGACTACCCAACCGGTTGTAAGTCGAGGACTTTCCCTGCCCGGAAGCGCTGCACATGTGTGGTTCCGCCCCCTGCGCCGGCCGAGGCGTAGCTGGCAAGCGGCAGAGACGGAGCAGGCCGACCACCAGCTGGCCCAGCCCAAGGGAGGTAAGGCACCCGCCGGAAAAGGGGAAAAAATGGCGGACAAAAAAATGGCGGACAAAAAAAATGGCGGACAGCCTTGCTTGGCGACCCCCGTGAAATGGTCGATCGACCCCAAATGGGGTCCCGACCCACAGGTTGAGAACCACTGCTCTAAGATGTTGTAGAGTATTGTGAAAAAAACCAAAATGGATTAACTAACCTAGTCAATTTAGCACCAGGCAGTTTAACTCGTCATGCTGCTTTTTCTCCAAAATCATACAATACATAAAACTCCTTCTCCAATTCTTCTCCTATAAGATAGCTTGGCTGAATGAGAGTGGTTGGCCTGAAGGCACCTGCTCAGCTTCCATATGGCTAAGGTATTTATTTATTTAAGAAAATTTATACAGATAGCCCTCGATTTACAATCATTCATTTAATGACTGTTCAAAGGTACAATGGCCCTGTAAAAAGTAATTTACAACAGGTCCTCCCACTTACAACCAATGTAGCATCCCTATGGTCACATGATCATAATTTGGATGGTTGGCAACCGGCATGTATTTACAATGGTTGCAGCCTCCCAGGATCATGTGAACACCATTTGCAAACTTCTCAGCCTGCTTCTGGCAAGCAAAGTCAATGGGGAAAGCTGGATTTACTTAATGATGATTTGCTTAACAACTGTGGCACAAAGGCTGTAAAATTGAGCACGACTCAATAACCCCTTTGCTTAACAACAGAAAGTCTGCTTTCTTTTGTGGTTTTAACTTGAGCACTACTTATATGGCTGCCTGACTCAATGACTCCAAGGGGGTTTACAAAGATAAAAACCTGATATAAAAACAATAAAACAAATCAATGGTCGACCTAGAACTTGACTAGAACACGGGAGATCCTAGTTTCCTGCTCCAAATCCAACAATTTATCAACTATATCACTCTGGCTCTCAACCTCTGGGGTTTTTCCCCTGTTCTATTTCATAGACATGTATTTCAATTCCATATTTTTTATTCTTTACTTCCTCTTTGTCACAGTTGATCCATACATAAGTCATCCCAGTAGCATGCAGATAATTAGTTCCACGTGCATCAGATATTCATATTATGGATGCAAATAGTTTTTGTAACCTCTATGCAGATTTGATTCAAGAGGACCTATACCTACTGGAATATTTGGAGGATTGCTGTTTCCATTCCATAAGTTTTTCTGCTTAACATTTTTAGTTCTTACAGGTTTCCAAAATGATTCCATGACATTATTCAGGACTGTATGAAACCAATTGACATCTTAAAAGAAGATCTATCTCATCTAATCCACGGACTCTTACTAGAGAAGTAATTCCAATGTGTGTTGTTTCTGGTGTGTTCAGTCTATCTGTGAAAAGGGGAAACAAGTATGAAATTGCTTACAACATAACAGCCTAGCCTAAGTCAATTATGTAATTAACATCAAACTATGCTAATAAAAGTGATTTGTATTGTATGTGTTAATGTCTGTATGCATTATCTGGCAACCTTGAGGTCAACCAAACATACACCGTGCTCATCCCTGCTTCCTGTAACCGAGATTTGGCTGGAGTCATAGTGGAGAGGCAATTAGAATGTGTGACTGCATGGTGACTCTTCTGAGAATTAACCACTTTGTGTGCTAACTTTGTCAACCAAAAATCTTGTCCTCTAAATGTTCAACGCAGCAATAACAATACCTTTAACAAGTATTCATACTTTGCCAGGTTTGTTGTTCCTACACAACTTGTTTATAAAGCACTGCAAATTAAAGTTAGCATTTTTGTTTCTTTAGGATAATGCTTGAATGTTTTCCGTTTCAGCTTGCTGTGAAATGCAGTCGTGGCTTTTGAGGGGAATCACAGTATAATCCATGCTCTCTACTTGCACGTCATAAAATTCAAAGTCTAGTCCAGAATACAATACATTCCATGTGTTCACTTAGTCAAGGATAAAGTTAAGGAGTTGCCATCACCTCTGTATTAGCATTTCCAAAGTGATTGCTCTCTAGATGCATTAGTTATGCAAGGGGAAAGTTATGAGTGCTGAATCTGAAACATCTGGAGGGAGGATAATAGGCTCACTGTCGTATAGTTTGAGTTTCAGGGTTTCCTCAAACCGCAAGATGGGTGCCTAATAATAATACTAATATAGGTAGTCCTCAATTTAGGACAATTTAGCCCAAAGTTTCTGTTGCTAAGCAAGACAGTTGTTAAATGACTTTTGCCCCATTTTATGACCTTTCTTGACACAGTTGTTAAGTGAATCACTGCCATTGTAAAGTTAGTAACAGTTACTAAATGAATCTGGCTTCCTCATTGACTTTGCTTGTCAGAAGGTCACAAAAGAGGATCACATGACCCCGGGTCATTATAACCATCATAAATATGAGTCAGTTGCCAAGCATCTGAATTTTGATCATATAACCATGGGGATGCTGCAATGGTCATAAGCATGAAAAACAGTCATAAGAGTGAAAAACAGTCATAAGTCACTTTTTCTAGTACTGTTGTAACTTCTAATGGTCACTAAATGAAGCGTTGTAAGTCGAAGACTACGTGTAGACTATTCTGAGATGATGGAAATCCTCTTTTCTTGGGTTGCAGGATTTATGAAGCATTCTGTGGAAGAACAATAATCGGAAGTTGTATAAAGATCAGTCATTAAAATAAGTTTTTTTTTTTTAAAAAAGCAAGTCTTGGATGCTTTGCAAAACAAGTTTTGATCTTACAGACTGCAAAGGATTTGTACATGCTACAGCAAACTCCTGCAATTTCTCGACCATGTCAGAAACTTTCTTTAAAGAAATCACAGTAGAAGCTTTATGAAATTTGGGAAGGTTTTAATATCATGAATAAATCACAATTAACAACAAATGCAGTGGTTTTGACAAGCAGATTCATGATTAAAGATTGCATTTCAACCCCTTCTTGTAAACAGTGATAAACAACAGTTCGGAAAGAAGACAATAGTACAATGTTCCACAGAGACTTACTCACAAAACATCATTTTAGGAGCATTTTACAAAAGGGGAAGATGATCCCCGTTTCTTCATAGACAGACCAAGACCTCAAAATTCAGTCTATTTTCCTCCATCCTGATATCCTCCCTGCATACAGATCTGGAAACCCTTCATTTCCAGCAATTGACCATCTTGGTTGGGAATGAGGAAATGATGTATTTCCCATACATCAGATCAACACCTGGATACTGTAAGGTGGCTTAAGGCAACTGCAAAGACCTAAGCATCTGGAGCACCACAGGCATGGAAAAGTTCACTGATTCTTTTATACTGGAAATGTTTACACAGGTGGTTTTGCTCCGATTTGGGTGATATAATGTGACACTAGCAAACAGCGCCAGCACCATGGCTGACCCTATTTTTTCTCTTAGTCTTCTTTGTCTTTTTCCAGCAACTTCTATTGTTACCACTTTGAGGAATATTACCAAGAAGTTACCATACTAGTCAGTAGTTCCTACTGGGATGGAGAAAGAAATGCTTGTATACAAAAGAGTGTCTATATTCACAAACACATTTGCTTTTAATTTAGTCACTTAAAAATTAGGATATGTGCTGTGCTTTGCTTAGCATGGCATATTTGATACGTGTGATCTGTCTTCTTGGCCACAGAGAGCGCCCTGTTATCCATTGTGTGGTTTGTCATACATCTTCATCCCAAGTCTTCCAACCATCATCAGACTTGAAAGAAAAACATAGACAGTTTATGGAAAATAAAGGAAAATTCATTCCTACATTAATAGTGTTTAATTTGCCCTGTCTCAAACATTTTGGTTTTGGATTTAATTAGAGGCAAACGAGAGAAAGCAAATATATTGGAGGGGGGAGCTGCTTCTTTTTTAAAATAAGTATTATTTTTAGCTTCTGAAGACTGCTGATGATATGACTAGAAACATCATAGGCTTCTGAAGGGGAGGGGCAAAGAGGAGAAGATGACAGTACAATTACATCATAGAACCAGTTTTGTCTACTGGTTAAGGTACCAGGCTAGAAATTAAGAGACCATGAGTTCTAGTCCCACCATAAAAGCCAGCTGTGTGACCTTGGGCTTGTCACACTCTCAGCCCAACCCATCTCACAGGGTTGCCGTTGTGAGGAACATAGGAGGAGGGAGGTATGTGGGATATATTCACCACCATTATTTGTAAAAATAATAAAATCATGGAAATGCCACATTGCAACCAGACATCAGATATGAACACATAATGATGGTACTGCATGAGGACGTAGTTTTGGTGTCACTGAAGCTTGCTGCAGATACAATCAAGAAATATTCTTGATATAGATATTAACATGCAATCATTGTGGTCACTTTACTCTAGAACAGCATTTCTCAATGTTGGTAACTTTAAGATGTGTGGTCTTCAACTCTTAGAACTCCCCAGGCAGTATGTTGCCAAGCTTGTCAAGGCTGAGAAACATTGCTTAGAGTAAGATAGTTTGATTGGAAATAGGGAGGCAGACTATAACTTGGGGCTGCATAACCAAAGACTTGGAGGCTAAATCTGCCCCTGATTTTCCATTTGCTACTAAATTGTCATTTTTAATGTGACAGAGAGGCAAATGATTAAATCACATGAACGGCATTAAAAACGCCAACTAAAAGCTAATTTAAAGCTAACTTCAGCCTAACTTAGTTTTTGTTC